CAATAAACTAGGCTTTTAGAGCATCACAACTATCTCAATCCGCATAATGGGATGAACAACTTTGAAAACTTCTCCTCTTGTCCTAGTGATCAACAACTCATCATCACAGCACAACCACACAATTTTTATCCCAATAGTTCAACTATCAACTCATTCATACAACATTATATGCAAACACATTGACCAATGCGTCGTCACGCATTCACCGACGGAGATCTCCTAACAACAAGAGTAGTCTAAGTGATTTCTACCCTACCGAACCAACCCAATCATTTTCACGCCCGAAACGCTGGTTTAATCACAGCAAAATGGGATACCAATCCCTCTTCTAGTCTCTCAGGTCTCATCACCTACACTAGGAAAGTTTGGTTCCACCATCAAGAGTAGTACAACTGGGTATAGGCTTACCACGATCTTGGCATGCATTATCAAGTCACATATGGAATTCGCCCACTGATTATCCACAAGGAACCACGAAACCTTTCCAGGTACTTGGTTAAGGGTTGTAGTCCTCGACCTCCTACCTTACTCAACCACTAACTAAGGATTTGGAGGAGACTCAACACACCTCAAAACCTACTCCAAGAGATACACCTACTCAAGGAGGGTTTTTCAAACAAGGCCTACTTGAGCACCACTCCAAGATACCCTATGCGGGACCTTCAATTTTCAAAATATTTTTCTCTCCTCAAATCCTAAGTTAGCCATCATGTTATAATGCCACATTGCATTCTTAGCATCCACACCTCATCAAACATCTACTATATACATTACATTCAGTCAATGCATATAGAGATTAACAACATCAATCATGTACAGCATACCAATGCTTAACATCTCAACCAATAACGACATACCAACGCTTAACATCTCAACCAATAATAACATACCAATGCTTAACATCTCAACCAATAATAACATATCAATGCTTAACATCTCTACCAATAATAGCATACCAATGCTTAACATCTCAACTAATAATAACATACCAATGCTTAACAATTTATACAATGATAGCATATCAATGCTCCACAATTAATTCAACATAGCATATCAATCATATAAATCAATGCTCATCACCATTTCAAGTACACAAGGATAGCATTCTAATGCTTATTATCATTCCAAGCATACAAAGATAGCATATCAATGCTCAGTATCATCATCTTGTAACACAAAACATGCAATAGACACAAGCATTATATTCATGTTCACCAATTTCACCTATCACACAACATGTATCACATGCAATTTATCAAAATCACATATTTCTACAATAACAAACTTCACATAAAACAACTCATAGGGAGTTCTACTACTCCAACCACTCTCATCCTTATCTCATCTGAAGATAAGAATATTTCCTACAACTCTCATGAAGACACCAAGTCCTAATTCTGTAACGACCCGCCATGGTCTCTACACTTAGTGGAATCACACTACTGCTAGTGAACTAAGAGAAATATTAAGCTGGATAACTCATACATACATGCACAAATAAAAATGAAAATAATTAAGTTTTTGGTCATAAAATAAAACTTCATATATGTACAGTCATCCCAAAAATAATATTCTCTAGTGTCGGTCAAGCACAGACAAAACTGCTATCCAAAATGATAACTCTAACATGAGGATCAAAACTCCCCGTCTCGCAGCGGACACCTCAACTCCAAGCTAGCCCTGACCTGCTCCCATACCAAGTATGATCATCGCAGTTCCACCACATGGAAACAGAAGGGTAAGCTAGAGTTTAAAAATCAATCATACAAGTACAGACAATAGTCTATACCACTTAATCACCCAACTATCAATCATGTTCATAAAGTCACACCATACTTTATCCAATACTACTCATGTATAACATACAATCCATCAATCATGAAGCTAAACACCACATACTTCATCATATTAACAATCATGTAATAAATGTATCTCATGACAGATATTAATGCATATCAATCATCAACACAAACAACCATACAGCTCAACATGAAAACCCAACTCATTCATACAACTTAGAAACAACTTTAATACAACAAAAACAACAACAATATACAACTTAATATTTAATGCGTCGTCACGCATGTACAACTGGGAGATCTCCAACAACTGGGGTTGAGCAGTCTATGTGGCATAAACCCTACCGAATCTAACGTTTGACCTATCTCAACCAGGTCAGGTATAGAACAGCGTTAGGAATTCTGAAGAGAACCAGGTATAGACAACAATAGTTGATTGCTCAGGTGTTCCACTTAGACTCGGAGGTCCAGTACTACTATCAGGACAGAAGGGTTTGGATATGAGAGCTTACCACGACCTTGGCTAGCCTCACCAATCCACATGTGGAGTTAGCCCACCCACTGTCCTCCAAGTACCACGCACCCTCTAGTACCTAGTCAAAGACTACATCTCTAACTAGATACCTTACTCAAATTGGTCATTCAACCATGACATGGATCGACTATTTCCATGTCGCCCACACAGTACTAAGGGATTCAACTTTAAAACAACTTTCAACTTATCACCTTAGTACTATGTATCTCAACATAGGACATATATCTTCACCATATGTCCCCAACTTTTCAACTTTACAACAATAGACACCATAACAACTTTACAACAATAAACATCTGGTCGCTTGTAATCGGTATAGCTTGGCCTGGCCCCTATACCGTGGTCGCTTTGTACACGTGTGCCTCGACCTTGCCCACACACGGGATCAACTAAGTCCTAGAGGAGAACAACACAACGTCCACTCCAAGGGACAACTTCCCAAGGAGGGTTTTTCAACAAATTGGGCTCTCAGAGCACCACAACTATCTCAATCCACACAATGGGATGAGCAACTTCGAAAACATCTCCCCTAGTCCTAGTGATCAACAACTCATCATCACAGCTTAATCAGCTTAACAACTTAAACAACATACAACTTTTCAGCAATAGACATCTTAACAACTTTACAATAATAGACATCTTAACAACAATAGACAACTTACAACAATACAACAATAGGCATTATATACTAGCTTGACAACTTCTTATTCAATCATACAACTATGCAACTTTAATAATTTTAACAACATGTAAACAACTTAATTAAACAACTATAGTCATTACAATATCAACTTAATGCAACTTAACAACTTTATAAACAACTTCAGCAATATACAACATATTTAAAATTCATCTATCATGTCAACTTACACATAAACAACATAAATCAACTTAAGCACCCAACAACTCAACTATTTCAACAAAAGAACACCATGCATAAAGCTTCCCTAACTCTTCTGAAATTAAACAACCTACACTCTAGCTTCTCTCACCTGAAGATTGGCTCAAAATGGCCAATAACTGAGAAGAAGTAGAATTCCCTTTCGAAGCTCAACCCAGAACTTCAATCCTCCCAAAGCAAGCTTCCTAATCTGAATTTCAAGAAAAGACAGAAGGCATTAGTGATCTAGAGGAGAAAAGGAATCATACAGAGAAATTTGGGAGAGAAAGGAGCTCATAGACCCAGAGTCCTTCTCTCTAAAACTTCTCTCTAAAAACCTCATTTTCTCCTCAACCACCCAACCCCTATTTATAGAAGTTCAGGAGTGGCCAGAACGGCCTGTTTCGAATCCGGAACGGCCCGTTCTGCACCCCCTCAACACATACAAAAATCACATGCAGAATGGCCCGTTCTGAAACCATAACGGCCCATTCTGGGATTCATCCAGAACGGCCCGTTCTCCATCCAGAACGGCCCGTACTCCCTCCGGAATGGCCCGTTTTGGGGTTTGGAACGGCCCATTCTCCCTCCAGAATGGCCCATTCTCAACTACGTTTTATAGGTCAATTCAGTAATTTGGAACGGCCCGTTCCAGTCTACTGAATCACCCATACTGGGCTTTTGGGTCTTCTAAAATAACCTACTTCGTTACAAATTCCATAATCTATCTTGTAAAAAAAATTTAAAAACCGCAACAACTACAACCAATGCTGACAACTTAACCCTTGTTCACTAAAACAGCCATATCTGAAGTTATACTACTCCTATCATGCTCATCCTTATCTCATATGAAAAGATAAGAAGATTTCTTACAACTCTTTTGAAGACATCTGGTTCTAATTCTATCATCTACTTTATTAAAAATTTTAAAAATTGCAACAACTACAACTAATGCTGACAACTTAACCCCTATTTACTAAAATAGCCATATCTGGAGTTCCAGACCTCCTTTTTGGGTGATTCTGGTGCATTGGAAAGCTAACATCCAAGGCTACAACTTTCACGAAGACCCTAAGACCAAATTCGGTCATCTAGTCCCAGTACTTCCGCGCTCAATTCAGCGCTCCAGATTAAACGTTCTACCCTCCCATGGCTTTTTGACCTCAGTGAATTAAAAATAAATAAAAATACACGAAATAAATTAAAAAAAAACTATTTACTGAAATAGGTGATTTTGGACACGGGGGCGCATACGTGGCAGTGAAAACGTCTGGGGGTGGGCGTTTTTTAGAAAACTCCTCCCCCCCAGGCACCTTGTATGTTGACGTGGCTGGGGAGTGCACAAAGAGCCTCCCCCCAGGCATTTTGTACACGTGGAAATCATGAACTGAAAGCGCTGGGGGGCATGCATTTTGTACACGTGGCAACTCGGAGCTGAAGGCGCGTCCCCCCCAGGCGCTTTCCATGCAAACGTGGCTTGTTTAGAAAGAGCCTCCCCCCTGGGCTCTTTCTATTTTTGGCAAGTTTGAAAAGAAAGAGCTAGTGGGGTAGGCATTTTTGAGATCAGGGATCTGCATGTTAATGGCAGCAGCAACAGCCACAACAAAAGGCCAATATAAAGGATCTGCATGGTAATTATTCACGATTAATGTTTATCAAATGAACTTCCACTCCTTGTTGATCGCTCTTTAAAATTAAACAACTTACCCGGTATACTATCATAGAAAGTATTATCCACTTTCTCCGGAAACTTCCGTAGAAATGCTGCTTGCCCTATGTATGCAACCACTATTGCAGGACACGTAATGCAAGAAAAGCTAATCTGCAACGCATATTATAATATGATGATGTTGATCAATAATTTTAAGTGCAACTAAACAACCAATAGCGCAGCTCGAAACAGTTTCTATGCATGAATTGACCACAAGTTCTTCATGGAACGGTCGAATATTATACTAACCAATCTTATGCACAAATTCTTCACCATATATATGCCCTAAACTGAAAGTATATACTGCGTTATACAGGGATAAATTAAATTTGTTCACTTACTTGAATGGCTCGTACATTAAAGTGACCCAAGTCAGCAAACATGGCCTCCGATCCTAAGATTAAATATATCTTACTTAGAATTAAAGGTTGATACAATTTAATTAAGAATAGATGTACGTTACGTTAGTCACCTGTTATGCACAAAAAGAATCCTCCAAGCAATATCCATCCGTCCTTGCCGTTCCGTTTGAAGTAATCATATATGTATTTTGGATTAAAAGCACGTAATACTCCAATGTCATATTTGAATAAATTGTAAAGGCCAATTCCACCGATGAATAAAAACCACAACAAAATGATTGGAGCGAATGTGAATCCCACTTTATAAGTACCGAATCGTTGCATACAAAATAGGACTACCAAGATTGCTATAGTGATCCCCACAACAGCTCCTGAAAAAAAAAAAAAAACATATGTCGACTTTTAACAATTTTTATTACTCTTGAGATTAGGGGGTGCGGGGGGAATAATACATTTATTTATTTAGGTACCTTGACCCAACGATGTACTGATCCCACTCACCGCAGAAAGGACTGCACATGCATTCAACAATATAATAATGTCAGGCCACCTTTCAAATTCACGTGGTATATGGTCAAAATTTTTGTTTTACATTTTTTTAATATAGATTAAATTTCTTCTAGTTGATGAGAAAAATGATGAAGCAAATATTATAAATAGAAACACGCAATTAATTGGTACTATAACCTGAAATTGATGGAGTAAGAATCCCATCTCCTATGACCATGGAAGTTTCCATTACAGCTAGAAAGAGACCCCACAAGCTCTTTCTTTTCAAACTTGCCAAAAATAGAAAGAGCCCAGGGGGAAGGCTCTTTCTAAACAAGCCACGTTTGCATGGAAAGCGCCTGGGGGGAGGTGCCTTCAACTCCCAGGTCCCACGTGTACAAAACGCCTGCCCCCGAGCACTTTCAGTTCATGATTTTCCACGTGTACAAAATGCCTGGGGGAGGCTCTTTGTGCACTCCCCAGCCACGTCAGCATACAAGGCGCCTGGGGGAAGGAGTTTTCTAAAAAACGCCCACCCCAGGCGTTTTCACTACCACGTATGCGCCCCCGTGTCCAAAATCACCTATTTCAGTAAATAATTTTTTTTTTAATTTATTTCGTGTATTTTTATTTTTTTTTAATTCACTGAGTTCAAAAAGCCTCCAAAGGAACACCGAAACGTTAACTAAAAAAACAATTTCGATTGTATTCATTGATGGTACTGCTGGCATATACTACTACCATGGTCCATGGATCTGATCTGACTGTTAGTCCAAACTGTGGAAAACTGTAAAGTTAGAGTCACAAACACAACACATAACGCACAAAAAGATACGCAAAAGCCAGTAACGTTGTTCTTGGTTGGATCCAACACTTTCACCTGAATTGTGTCTCACATCCCATAATTCAATCTAGCACTGTCCTCCACTCTCACAAGTTCGTTTTTTGAGCTTAAAGATCTGTGCTTTGGTTATGGAGAACTCAGAGAAGGTGGTGGCTGTGATCATGGTGGGTGGACCCACTAAAGGTATTTGAAATCTTTGCTTGTTTTCTGATCAAAGTTTGAGTCTTTTTCCCGATTGGGAAATTGGGGTTGTCTTGTTTTTCATATGGCTTTGTTCAATTGTGTGTGCAGGGACCAGATTTCGGCCTCTTTCCTTCAATACTCCGAAACCCCTTTTCCCTGTGGCTGGCCAGCCAATGGTTCACCATCCTATTTCTGCTTGTAAAAGGGTTTGCTTCTTTGTCTCCTCAATTACCCTTCTCACTGTATCTGATCAAATTGAGAACAAAAAAAAAAAGGAACTTCGATTTCAATGTTGACTTGCATACTTTCATGTGTGTGTATATATATATATATATGGTCTCCATTAGTCTAAACTCTAAAATTCAAACTTGATCAAATTGAGAAAAAAATAAAATAAATAAATAACTAGAAGGAACTTCAATTTCAATGTTGACTTATATAGGTTTGTGTGTGTGTGAACAAATATGGTCTCCATTAGTCTAAAATTCAAATTGAAGCTCAGCTTGAAAACTGATGAAAAGGAGAGGACAGGGGATATGTGACTTAAAAGGAATGGAGTGTTTTAACTTACTAGTTTTGTCCTCTACAGATACCCAATTTGGCTCAAATATATCTTATTGGATTCTATGAGGAGCGAGAATTTGCTCTATATGTCTCTTCAATCTCAAATGAGCTGAAATTACCAGTAAGGTGACTAGTGCATTAGTTTGCTGCTTTAATAAGAGAAAGTATGTTTTTTATGCTCCGTTAATTGCTGGACCTGACCATGTTGTGTTACTAAAATCAATCTAGATATTTGAAGGAGGATAAACCGCATGGTTCAGCGGGTGGTCTTTACTACTACAGAGATATTATAATGGAAGATAGCCCGGTTAGAAACACTGCTCGTATCATTGTTTTTACCATATGATGTTATATTGTGGATTAACTTTGGGATGATGAATGTACAAACAAATTCTAACATATTGGCTACGTTTTGATTGCAGTCACATATCTTTCTGTTAAATTGTGATGTTTGCTGCAGTTTTCCACTACCATCGATGCTTGGTAAGTGTTTTGCTGTTAAATTGTGGTAGTTATTCAGAAGTATGGAAGTGACACTACTGAACTATTTCTTGTTTCCTTTTGCAGATGCGCATAAAAGATATGGTGGGATGGGGACAATGTTAGTAATCAAGGTTGGTGCATAAGAAAATGTGTGTATATATAAGGGGTAGCACTTATTGTAGAAAAAATGGTGAAATCTCACCTTAGGTGTTATAAACATCTGTGGTGAAGACCTATTGAAGTTCCATTGAGAAGTGTTGATTGGACTAGAGGTCTACGGTTTTTCTACAGACATGACCCGCAATAGAATATCATGGCATTTTTTGATCCATATACCCAACTCCACCTAGTGGGAAAAAGGCTTGATTATTGTTGTATCCATGTGCATTTAATAACATAAATATGATACATATCTGTTTAGATCATTGTTGGGTTTTGTTGCAAAACCACTCTTTCATTCTCCTTCTTGGTTGTGGATATCTTGTGTAGGTTTCAGCTGAATCTGCTAGCCAATTCGGTGAGTTGGTTGCTGATCCAACCACTAATGAGTTGCTGCATTATACCGAGAAACCTGAAACATTTGTGAGTATTTATTTTGGTTTGTCTCTCTTCATTCTTTTTACCAAGTAAAAAAAGCACAATCCGATGAAGGATATTGATTGGTAAAAGCTATTTGTATTGCTTCTGATTATGCCTAAACAAAATTAAACGTTGTATAATATGCAGGTCAGTGATTTGATAAATTGCGGTGTCTACATTTTCACCCCTGATATTTTTACTGCCATCCATGATGTATATACTAATCGAGAAGGCAGAGGTTGGTCTCTTTCAATCACACATAAAAAGGTTTCAAACATAAAAGGCTTTTGTTACATAAATTGATTTATAAGTGCCAAGTGCTGGGTGGAAAGGTACCATGTGTCGGATACTCTTTTCATTGTAAGAACTAAATTGATGTGTTTTGAAAGTTTTGTGCGATTAAGGACTATATATATATATATA